GATCCTAAATTGATGCAAAACAGAGAGGTGGAGAATGATCGTGCGGTCAGCCACGACCCACCAAGGGCTATAAAGCTGCAGAGAAGAGGAAGGAGAAGCCGTAGTTGAGATGGACAAGACATTGAAACCATCAAAAAACCATCAGCGGCTCGTATAATTCACACATTTTATTCAATTAAAAAAGCAAGCATTTCATGTTCGTGGAAAAGTTCAACTAAGCGGGAATAGTTTTGCGATTTGTAATCAATATTTGCCCTGTTCAATTATTTTTCGCAAATATATTCTCTGTTTTATTGTATCAACATTTTTTTGTTTATGAATATTATTTACTAAAACTAGGCAAGCATGACCAAGCATCAGTTTTATCTGTCGTCTTAAAATTAAAGTAGTTAACTAAGTCAGTCCATTGACTTTCCAAGCTTAGGCTCACATGAGATAGACAATATTTACACGCTCACCATGCTCTGCCCTTAAAACACTATATCAATTGGAAGGGCTTAGCTCTCTTCAATCTGCGGTATAAATTCTGATCATCTAGCAGCTGGCGGGCTTCTGCGTTCGGATGTAGCTGTAGTCTAGCTTGGTGTTTCTTTGCATACAGTTTGATTTCCTGTTCAACAGTCAGGATTCCAAGGTCTCTGTGAAGATCATTATTTCTGACGAACCATGGGGCATTGGCTATTTCCCGTAATGCCTTATTTTGGACCGTTTGAATCTTTTTTATATGTGTGCTTTTTGTGCATCCCCACAGCTGAATACCGTAGAGCCATGTAGGTTTAATAATTTGTTTATAAATTAAAAGTTTGTTATACAAAGTCATCTTGGAATGCCTGCCAATCAGCCATCTATATTGCGCAATTTTTATTTTCAACTCTTTTACTTTCTTTCTGACATGTTCATTCCATTTTAATTTAGTGTCCAACGTCATACCAAGGTATTTCGCAGTATTTGCATATGGGACGCCCGTTCCATTAATATTTATTATTACGGGATCTGTCAAATTTTGGTTGGTAAAGTTAACAGAGGTCGATTTAGATTCGTTAATTTTAATTTTCCACTTGGTGGTCCATTTATAAACAGCGTCGCTCGCTTTCAGCCCGACACTAATCCTATGTCGTCCGCATATGTTGCTATTGAAACTTCTTTCGGTTGGGGTATATCACTGGAAAAAAGTAAATACAGGACAGGCCCTAGAAAGCTCCCTTATGGCACACCCGCTTGGATTGTCTTGGCTCTCTGGACAACTCTGGCTAAGCTCCTTCTTGCTTGATTCTGAATAGTCTATTACTGATATATGAAGTAAGAATTTCCACGTATGGTAGACCAGCCCTTCATGCCATACTTTGTCGAACGCCTGCGATACTTTGAGGAATAATGCTGAACAGTAGTTCTTTTCTTTTAGTGACTCTTCTATTACATCAGTTATTCGGTGCACTTGATCAATTGTAGAGTGGTTCGATCGGAATCCAAATTGGTGACCGGGGATTAACTTTCGTTTCTCTAATATTTGTATAAGTCCTTTCAGCAATAGTTTTTCAAAAAGCTTTGATATTATTGGCAAGAGGGAAATTGCCTCACTTTGATTTAATGTTGGTTTCTAGCTTGTTGCATAACAATAAAATTCCACATTCGATCCGAACTTTGCCGTTTAAATTTTTGTTTTGTAGAATTATGTGCAGTTACTTACATCTTACAAAATTTTGCGTAGTTTTACAGCCTCAGAAAATGCGAACAATTTTAGATCAGCGATGCGCCGCATTTTGGAAATAAATTCTGAACATGAAACACGTTTTGTATAGATGAACGAAAGAGGCTTCAAGCACTTGCAGACATGACACAATCTAAACATTAAGCCGGATCGAAATTGATGGTATTTCAGTAAATGGGAGCCCCATTTGCGCCCCATTTACTGTCAAATATGACACTGACAAGCGGGAAAATTATATAAGCGACGAGGAGAACCACACAAGGGAGTGAAGTGACAGCAACGAGCGGGTGCAAAAGAGGTTAAACCCCGCGAGTCGGAAGAGCGAGTTTTCCGCCTGTTATTGTTATTGTTTGTGAAGTTGACGGTAAATTTGAAGTTAGTTTGTTCCTGTTCCGTATTTAAAGTGATACCGAGTGGAATAAAAGTTGTAAGCTGAAGAAAGAGTTTGATACTCGGCCATCCACGGTGCAATATACAGGGTTGCTCATTAGTGCGTCAAAGTGCGATATCTCAGTAAATATGAAGTTTACAAGAAAATTCGTCCAACGAAAGTTTTTCACGTTTAAAAGGTCCACATTCTAAAATTACTTTCCAATATACAGGGTGCATCATAAACGTGTGGTAGTTACCAACTCTGGTTTTTTAAATGAAACCCCCCCTTTTTTTGTTATTGTCAGATTGGCCGTTCAATTTTAATTTATATTTGTTTCAACCGTTCTACCTGAAAAATTTACGATTTCCGAGTTATTCGTAAAAATGTGAAAGTTTTGACAGCTACTGGGTTCCACAGAAATCGATGCTGTACACTACCCGCTGCGAATTTTGGAAAACAGTTTTCAGCGATTCTAACAGAACCTCATGATCTACGTGTAGATATGTTTTTAATTATAAGGAAATACTTCTAAACCGCGCAATTAGCCTCTAAACTTGCATGTTTTTAAACCTCAAAAAGTTGCTTATTTCAAATGGAACCCCCTA